AAGAAGTGAGTTGAGATTTGTTTTCGAAGAGGGTCAGCCCTTTTTATGCGATAATTTGTCACGTTCTTAACAATTGGATAATATCAGACGTTTATTGTTCCATCGGTAGCCAGGGAAGGTCCAGCGGACAGGTATAAGTCCGCCGCAGTACCAGTCGTCGTAATACGGAACATAGATTTCTATGATCAATGAAACTTTTAGCCGAAGATATAAGTTTATTTATTTGACTTTTAATAATGAATTTCTTCATTGAATTTTATTATTGTGCACACTATATAGCATAATCTTCAGAAGCTAGCATTCAACTTTAGCTATTATAACATTAATGGGATAACATTAATGGGATTAACATCCATACTTATAAAAAATAAATTTTACAAATGTTCAAAAAGCGAAACAATAATACAATTACCATATACTTATTCATACCCACTTTCCTGCAACAGTATATTTTGGAATAATTTTCGTAAAGAGTTTCATTGGCCATAGAAACCTATGTTCCATAAAGCGACGACTGGTACCGCGGCGGATTTATACCTGCCCGTTAGACCTTCCCTGACTACCGATGGCACAATAAACATCTGATATTGTCTAATTGTTAAAAACGTAACAGATTATCGCATAAAAAGGGCTGACCCTCTTCGAAAACAAATCTCAAATTATTTCTCCGCAAAAAGTAGGAGAAAATTGTATATGTAATAATTATTGCTAAATTGCAATAAACAAAAAATTCCAAAAACACGTATCCTCTATTTTGATCCATATTTTTAGTATACAAAGCTGCAAAAAAATCGTACTGCATTTAGGGTGAAAAATTGAAAAAAAAGTGCATTTTTTAAATATATTATTTAAATAAATAATTTCTCCCGAAATTTTTGACACTAACTAAATTCCTGACTAAAAACTACACAATTTAAAAAAAAATTCACCTTCCTACACCCTCTAGTTTCCGAGATATTAAGGAAAATGTGTTTTCAACTCCGAACTTTGAGGGCTATTTTCACCCCCTCAACATGGATGTCTGCAGATATAAAAAAATACGTGTCAAATGATTTTTAAAAAGCTACCACATATGTCAATTTCATTAAAATCGGCGTGTAACACCTTGGTGATGTCCCTTGTTAGTAAATGTTGTTGAATTTTCCACGGTCCGTAATAAGCTAGTCTTTAGAATTTTATAAGTGCCTTGTTTTCATTCTCTGGCCCTGAGGTCTAGAGAGCTTTCCCTCATTCGCTCGCACATGGAGAATATTTTAAACAATGAATTTCCTGTGCGCCATAGGTACATATTCCGTTTTTAAATCGAGCTCTTAATTTATATTTACAGATCAAGAGGCGCAATTTCTTCGTAACAATACTCACGCGGTTCAATCGCCCTACTACTTGAGTCAAATTTCAAGCGATAGCGTTACAAATTTATTCGAGGGCTGCTTAGTCTCGTCAACACAGATTACCTTGAACTTTTCGTAGTTTCTTTGGGTACCATGCTTTTTCTTAAAACGCGTACATGATATCGTTCTGGCCCTTGATGAAACACCTCCACCTTTGGATCACTATTAGCCGAAATCGCGCAAAGATTTCTCTTGCCGAGGCAGAATAATAATTTTCTCTAACACCAATTCTTTAAATTCGAATAAAAGTTATCTTGAAGTCGAACTATTTTATACATATATGGCGCCACGAGCAGAGTACTCTAGCGCTCCACGGGCACCTCTTAAAATCCTTACATCTTTATTTCCACACCGCTCACACACACAACACGTTATATGAAGTCCCCAAGATAAGGTTTAGTTTTTACTTATTTCCTGTTACAGAAGAGGGCGTGTAAGAGCCGCTGCTCTTATTTACCACTTACAGTCTTTTAGTTGTCCCTAAGATAAATTTGAATAAGATTCAGATTTAGGCCGTCAGTTCTGTGTACTATTTTAGAGGTTATGTCTTCAATGTTTACTTAGTGCCTAATTGTCGTAACAGTGATAACAGATATAATTTTTATATATAGTTAATGGTCGTAGTTTTTTATTTGCACAGTGTTATTTAAACTTTGAAAAATAACCGTGATCAATACACATATATTTCTCTGTATACATATTTCAAATGACGTCTGTAACGTCTGAAAATGTAAAAACTATATATTTTTTGGACGCATTAAAATTATTTATTGAAACACAATGGCTTTACAATACTCCGGTCACTGATTTGTTGACAGCTGATTTACTTGATTTATTTCCAAAAGAATGGTTACATGTATTGCAAATTTTAGAAAATGAAGATCTTAATGATTTTGTTGTAAACAGAAAAATAAAGGTTGGTAATCGAGTATTTAAATAAATAATAATTAAAACAGACTAATGACTAATATGTAATTAAGTCTGGCATAAGATGAGTGCAAGGAATTCAGAAAGACAAGTCAAGTTTTCCTACGTTTTAATCCGACTGGTGCATGTGACTGCTGTAATCAATTCTTTGTTAGTGTTGGAAATATGTATAAAATGGGGGATACACTTTTAATTTCAACCAATTACAGCCACATTGTTCTAATATTCTAGCATGACTCGTCTTGTGATAGACAAACTATAAATGGTTATAAAATAAATAAAAATTGCGATATTAATTTTAGCCTCAATGGCCAGAGTCTTTAAGACTCTTTGTTGAAAAATGTGAACATATTGATCAATTACCAATTATAGATACTGTATTAGCAGCTGAATTACCAAAACACTTTCAAACAGGACTTAGTCGTAAAAAGCAACATGAAATAATGCATTTAGCTCATTTGGTGCATGAGCAATGTGTATCAGAAAACATTAAAGTTATTGTTGATCTTGGTGCAGGTTTGGTAAGAAATTGATATTAATGTTATTAGTATGTTTGCTAACAATGCTTGATTAAAAACTCATTTAATGTTGATTATTTTCTTTTCAAAGTGGTCAAAATTTGATTCCTTAGACTTTTGCAAATTTTTATATTTTAAGATGAATATCGTGATATAATTGAATCCAAGTATGATAAAATTTCATATCATTGACTGATGGATGAAAGTATTTCAAACTTGGCTCAATAGTTGCTTTAAATAAGCGCTGAAGTTTCCTTTTGTTTAAGTACATGGTACAGGAAACTTCTACAGTATCGTTGATGTTTTCTGTGTAACATAATTTCAAATAGATTAATATAACTTCAGTCCGCTTGTGTTATTAGTATATTATATTCTTTTTTAAAATATATAATCAAGTCTGATCATTTTTTAATAAAATAAAAATTTATGATTTCATGTGTGACATCAGAAACATCATATACATGTGATGCTGATAGCAAACATGTTAATTAAAAAAAAGAGGAAAACATTCTTTTTAACATGTTTTTATTACAGGGATATATTTGTCAGTTGTTACATCATTTATATGGTTATAAAGTACTTGGATTAGAAAAAAAAAAAGAAACTGTAAATAATGTTCAAAATAGGCAGATGAAAATGTTTCCTGATTCATTAACATATGTTAAATATAGTCACTGTGATTTAACACATAATTCTGCTGAAATAATAGAAACCATATTATTGAATAAATTTCAAGAACATTCAGATGTTTGTTTAATTGGTTTACATGCCTGTGGAGATTTAAGTATAGATGCATTAAAAATATATCGTGATATGAAAAGGGCACGTATCTTTATTATGGTTTCATGTTGCTATCATAAAATGTCAGTATCAAAAAGTGTACAAACAGACACATTGATTAAAAAACAGTATTTTAACAACTTCCCTTTGTCTAATTATCTTAAAACTGTAATTCGTAATGCTAATTTTGATATTGGTTTTTTCTTGAGACAACCATTTTTACGTTTAGCATGTCAAGAACCATCAGATAGATGGTGTAATATGTCTATTAAAACGCATAATGAACACTCATTTCATGTTCTTGCAAGGGCTGTTCTTCAATTATATGCAGCTAAAAGTATGCAAAATCTGTACTTTTAATATCATTTATTTTATTTTATACTAAATTTAACATTGCAAATATTTTAGATGGCTTTTGTCTTATCAAACAAACTCGAAAAGGAACAAGAAAATCACAATGTTTAAATTTTGAAACATATATCAAAGATTCCTTAAATAGATATATTCTACAGCCACTAAAAGAACAAGGTAATATTATATATACACAATATATAAGAAAATTGTAGTACAAACGCGAGTGAAGTAAATTGACATGATAAAGTGAAGTGAGGAAATTAATATGAAATGTTTTTATTTGAGGTTTCTTTTTTTGACAACCAATGTTGACAATTCATTAGATACATGTACAACTCAATATGAGTTAGTTGTTGTGCTATTCCATTACTGATTGTTTGTGCTAGAATTGAAGTTTGTGGACATTAGCAATAATATGGTTCAGATAACAATAGATTTTTACAGCTTATCAATTTTTTTTATTTTATTACAAGTTAAAAATATTGTTCTTGTAATTAAAAACTTTTTTTATAAATATATAATTATTTTTTATAGTTTATATAATATAAACGTATTTATAAATATATTTTTTCGAAATACAATGACCTATTATACAACGTTTTCATAACTATCATTAATTGATGTTTTTTAGATATGCAACTTAATCTTAATATACACGAGAAAAATATGGTAGAACTATGGAAAAGTCATTGTAATAAATTAAAAGCTGTAGAAATTTATAGCGGTTTACAATTGATGTTACAAGCACCAGCGGAATCATTTATTTTACAAGATCGACTATGTTGGATGGAAGAACAAGGTTTCGATGCTACAATTGTTCCAGTTATGAATAGACATTTATCTCCACGATCATATGCAATTATATCTCATAAAAAGTAAAAACTAATATAAATCACTACTTTAAAAAACTTTTACATATTTAAATATTCTAAGTCTGAAATTTTTACACGTTACAATATTAATTTAGTACTAACTTCTATATTTCGATCGATTAAAATGAAAACAATTTTTTCTATCATGAATAGCATTACACAAAAATATGCGATTTTTTTTACAGGTAATTTATTGTACATATTTTATCTATATGGATGAATTTGTGATGCTGCTTTAATATTAGTTTTTATTGTACTTGGAGCTTTACCCATTTGTCCCACTGAAAGTGTACAAAATGTATTCGTTATTATTGTAAATATACATTTTCGTGGTAAAATAATATTTTAATAAAACTTATAATATTATTAATCTTACTGGATGAGTTCCCTAAAGTTCCTTGTCCCGAATTTTGCTGTTGACTTCCAGGCCTACCTACCATCATTCCACTTGATACAGAATTCACACCAGATTGAACCATTGGCACTGAATCAGACTGCAAAAGGTAAAATACAATATATACTAATATATATTGTATATAGTATTGTTATGTGAATGTACATCCTCCTACACAATCATCCTACATCATATAAACGAAAAATTGTTTATATGAAAATTATATAAGTAATAATTCATATTGTACATATAATACTTCAGATATAAAAATGATAAGAAATATATAGCATTTAATAATTTAACAATCGTTTATAGTGGTGGATTGATGCAGATGTACAACGTGCTATTTAAAAGAGCAAAGCTCATCTCGAAATTAGGAGATTTCTTCATTGGCAAAATAATAATTACTGATATGCTATAGCTTCACCTAAATGAGTTAAAATTTACCTTTAAACCTTTTCCAATACCAACAGCTGCTACAAGAGCATGAGTATCTGCTGTGCTACTAGTCTGCGCTTGCGCCGCTCTAGACCCAGATTCACTTTCCCATTCTTCCCGTGCTTTATTTGCTATATCCCATACATGACTAATGACTTTTGTATATTGTGTTACTTGTTTCTGAAAATTATAAAGTGCATACATATTTTAAAAATCAAGACATTTAGCGTTCCACTCGCTAAATGGACCGATTATAGATTTTACTTTATACAGCTCAAACTATTAGAGGAATATAACACTTAATACTTAGTTTAATACATAATATATATTTGTATAGGTACGATCCACATCATAACTTAAAAACTGTGTTATTATGTATGAACATGTGAAATTGTTTACATACATATCCGATAATCATATGTACTTGTACATATTGTATTGCTTTTCTAAGTGACATTTCTCTTTCTCCAAGCTAATCCTGAACAGCTCGGATAAGAGCACAGCGGGCCAGGAGACTTGATTCTGTGACCAGAAGGTCTGCCGCCCAAGGAAATGGGATAGAATAAATTATCATTATAATGCTTATAGTTTTTTGGATCTCGAATTTGAAGTAAAAATTTGAAAATATAAACTGGTGAATCTAACGTGACCGACCCAAGTCAGAAAAATTGATGTAATTGCTTAAAACAGGGCATTTAAATGTTCTTAAAGGCGTCGATTGGGAATCCGATGTAAAAATTTCCTAATTCGAAACGATAAATTTAATATGTCGATCGAAGTTCTTTAAAAAGTATGTAAATACTTCGTACAAATTCAATTTCTAGAAGCAATTTCAGGTTACTGATTTTAAATTTTCTATTAATATTTCAAAATTCAAAATATTGAATTCAATATGGTACCAAAGTCGTTTAAAAATATCTAATTTTTATAGAACTTAGATTTGGAGCATTTTTAAACAATTTTAAAACATTAAGAAAACGACCAAGTATACAGGGTGTCCACGCCTAAGTGTGACAGCACGATATTTCATGAACTACTGAAGTCACGAAAAAGTTTTTATATGGAAATTGCAGGGTAAAAAGAGCTCTATGTTTTGGCGTAAACACAATTTGTTTAATGTTATTAATGTAAAAGACATGATGGTGAAGTTTCGTTTTTTAAATGGAACTATATATTTTTTTTCGATCAGGCAATAGTGCTTTTCAAGATGAATTCAAAGGTCTAATATATTTACCCGATTTTTATTAGTTTTCGAGATATAACGCTTAGAAATTTACTAATTTTCAACAAAAATGTAGCGATTTGAGTAGTAAGTTATAAAAATGGTCTTATTGCTGCGATAAGTGCCGCATGTTTACCGAAACCGATAGCCGAGGGTTTACGGTTCCAACGGTAAGTCCAAAGAGTAAGAAACGTGGAAAGAATTGTCCATTACGGTCTAAGTTTTAGACCGTATGATCCACGGATGATGGACAATTAACACAGTTGTATTCGTCCATTCAGAACCGTGTTTGAAAAATATAGCAGCCCTGAAAAGAGCTAGTTCTGTTAAAGCTCTAAAAAGAACTGGTTTTACTGTAGGTCTAAAAATATCATATTTAGACCAGAACATGTCGACAATATTGCTGGCTACATCGAAGGTATAAAATCTATGTACAACTTCAATCATAATATTTTTTGCACAAGATATTAAAAATTCAAATTTATCTGTATTTTTGGGTCATTCCATGCCAAATCGATCACTTTTGGAAGTCACCATCTCCGATTTTGTTCTAATCGAAATATGTTGTAGTCCATGTGAAATTAGGGGCCGTGTAAGTCATCATTTTGCCGGTTTCAAATTCGTTAATGAATGGCAAGCTTTCAAAGCTTGCAATTTTTGTCCATTTTGGAAAAGTAGGGTCCCCTTAGGAATTTTTTTCTCAGAAACTACTCAATCCATTGAGCTAAATTTTTTTTTTTGTTTTATTCACGAAGGATTGGGCTGTTTTAAAATATTTTTTCTAATTCCGTCAATTTCCTATAAAATGTCGGAAAATGTGAACAAATTCTTTTTCTGCGTTTATCTCAATGAGGGGCGTAAAGGGTTAACATTTTTAAAAACTATGGTCATATTCTTTGAAGCTTCCCCTTTGAGCCCTTCAGAACGCTGGAGCCTCGAAAATTGGCATCTCTACAAACTGGAAAAGGACGCGGGGTACCTCCGTTTCAGGTAGGTGAGTCGTGTGGACTTCATATACGACTAAATGTTCATACCTAGTAATGTATATTAGTACTCACTCTTGGCCAATGATACACTTATAGTTATGTTAGATTTAATCCTAAAGTGATATAAGCATGAACTATTTGTTTGGTTATCGGTTTGAAAATAATAAAAGAGTAAAAGTCATTAGGCTGTAGAAAACATATCTCACGAGATAGCTACGCAATATGAAAGCAAAAAGAGTTTTATTAATTCAACTATTCATTTAAGTGACTTCGGTGTTTTTGCTAAATGGCATTCTTGTACAACTACTCACGATAGAGGGGCCATGCTATCTTATTGAAGGGAGCACTAAAAAACTTGCAATGTACGTTAGCTTACAAAGATTGTTAGACAAAATTCATTTCTCACTCCTAAAGATTTATTTGAATAGGCAGAATCATCTTTTTTGAACATAGCATTTAATTGTGTAACATAAAATGAATATATTAAATATACCGATTATTTATAAGCTCCTTTAGCAACAGCATTATCAATAACAGGGTTTAAAAGTATTCACAGCTTTGCATCATTATCAAATAAAGAAAATATAGTAGGACTTGCTCGTACGATAATGATGGATCTGTACTTAGTGTATGAACTAACTGTCATTATATTTTTTCCAACCAGACACAATGTTTTCCATACTTTTGATCACAACCCACCATAACTCCATTGCGATAGAAAGAAATCACCACTTTTTCGCGGATTCTATCAAGTAATGATGCCTTTTTTAAAATATAAACAATAAATATAGGAACTAATATCTATGAATGATGTTATGATTAAAAAATGTGTGATTCGTCAAAAGTAAGTATTAATATACTTTGCTAGGTATGAACAGGGTCATTTAGTCGTATACGAAGTCTTGTCGTATTGTTTTAAGACCGGTGGTATAAAAAAACCGATCATAATAGCGGAGCACACGACTCACCTACCTGAAACGGAGGTACCCCGCGTCCTTTTCCAGCTTGTAGAAGCGTCAATTTTTGAGGCTCCATCGTTCTGAAAAGCTCATTTTAAAGGGGAAGCTTCAAAGAATATGACCATAGTTTTTAAAAATGTTAACCCTTTACGCCCCTCATTGAGATAAACGCAGAAAAAGAATTTGTTCACATTTTCCGACATTTTATAGGAAATTGACGGAATTAGAAAAAATATTTTAAAACAGCCCAATCCTCCGTGAATAAAACAAAAAAAAAAATTTAGCTCAATCGATTGAGTAGTTTCTGAGAAAAAAATTCCTAAGGGGACCCTACTTTTACCAAAATGGGCAAAAATTGCAAGCTTTGAAAGCTTGCCATTCATTAATGAATTCGAAACCGGCAAAATGATGACTTACACGCCCCCTAATTTCACATGGACTACAACATATTTCGATTAGAGCAAAATCGGAGATGGTGACTTCCAAAAGTGATCAATTTGTCGTGGAATGACCCTTTTATTTTTTTTCTATATGTATATGTTACGGTGAAAGACCGAAATCTTGTGAATATCGACATTCTCCAATTTCGGTCTTTCACCGTAACATATATACTAATAATAATAATTCTGTATTGTAATTAATGATAAATGAACGATAATTTATTTATTATCATATATCATTGCTGGGGTTAAAAATAATGTTATTGCAGATTACCTAATCAATTTAAATAAAGCGATGGAACACATTGTTCTGATGTTACAAAGTTTTAGTTATTTAAAGTAGCTAATTATGGCTAATTATTAATATCATTATACGCTAGTCAAAAAAATGAAGGGAACAGAAAAATTCGTTAAATTTTTAGGTCATTTTCATTTACGTAAATGCGGAATTTACGTGCGCTGGAAAATGCGCTTCTTCGAATTTGGAACCAAATTCCCCAAGCCATGATACGGCGATGCATTAATATGTGTGAACGTTTGCAAGATGTAATTAACAACCGTGGTGGTAATACTCGATATTAAATTTACAAATCCTTGAAAAAACATTTATTGAAAAAACAAAATTGCACTCACCCGCGCAACCATTGCTGCAGGCGCACATACCTGCGCGCTCCCACCTTCCCAAACCAAATCCGACCTTCCCAAACCAAAGCATTCTTTAAAAATTCAGCAATAGTACCGGTAAATGTAGAGAAACAAACTTTTTTACTCAACAAACGTATAAGTCGCGGATCGGAGTAGTAATGACGTTTCCTTAACTCTTTTTGTTCAAATTTCAAAGTTTGATCCATCGGTTCATAGGGAACAAAGAATCGGAGCCATTTGAAACTTCGCATACATTTTGTGGGCAACATGAGCTTAAAAAAAAACCTAGGCATAATCATTGCAATACTTATTTACAAATAAGTAACGTCCGTTTTTTGACGTTTTTTTACATCAATATTAATCATAAAAGAAAAACATTTAATCAAAAACTGATATACCCATTTTAAAGGGTACATTCTCCGCTTTCTGGGACCGTATTTACAATTTCTGTTCGATGGCGGGTTCATGAGATAATGACTATCAAAGAAAAAAGCGTCATTTCGGCATTGGTAGCTCATAACTTTGCGACCGATCGTCGAAACGAACTTCATGGACGTGCAAATTATAGGGGAAGGAACATGGAACAGCAGCCTAGAAGTGGCATTAATCAAAAAAATTTGTCTATGTCTGTACAAACCTTAAAAAAAGAACAAAAATTCTATAATTTTTTCATCGCGATTTTTTGTATGTTTTGTTTATGATAATAGTCTCAAACGATTTTTAAGATAAAGGGTCGAAAACTAGAGACCTGAAGCTTCAAAATGACTATTCTGGATGTCTTCTGTGATGAATTTCAACGGAGGCAGAGCAATTTGAAAATGACCTAAAAATTTAACGAATTTTTCTGTTCCCTTCATTTTTTTGACTAGCGTATATTATTAAAGTAAATATATAAACAAAATTGTAAGAAATAGAAGGAATTAAACTTCAGTAGTACGATTTGGGCTTAACTTAATCCACAGTCGAATATTAAATAAACGACAAGAGACTGCATATGTTCTTATTAAGAAAGGTCATCTGATATTTAGAAAAGTAATACGTACTCTATGTGTTATTGTTCATCATTATTGTTTTTCTAAGTAAATATCAAATGTATAACACTGTACAATAAATTCTGACCTTTTTTTTATTTCATAACCACCATTATGATATTCTTACAGATTTTCGCGAGCTAAAATCCAATCTGAAATCCGTTTTTCTCTAGAAATGTCTGCTCTATCACGTACAATGGTTAGATTTTCACATACTCCCGTAAATTTTTAAATAAATTGAAAAATATCAGCAAAAATGGGTGCGTTCTTGATTTCTTTCTTACTTTGATCATTATTTAAACATATTTAAATATTTATAATGTAATAACAATTTATATTGTTTTTTTCGGGAAGGGTTATAGATTTTTCTCTTGTGAAAAACCTGTGAATAGCTGCTATGCTAACACGTAGAATTTTTCGAATTTTTCACGAAATCATTTGGCTCTTATATAATGTAATCAAAGTTTAATTAAAATTTGTAAAACAACCACTTGAAAGATGATTACTTTCTCTAACAGTTAAATATTAATTCCTCTAATAGTTAAATAAAATTGTGCATTATGTGACACTATCTATTCATATCATTGAAAACAAATTTCTAAAATATTTTAAAATTTATAATAATACTAATGACACTTTATTGTACCCTTGCTGCAAAGGTAACACAACCTGTACAACGAATTTCAAGTTATCATGATGAGAATGTTGCAAAAATATTCTTTGACCAATTACAAAAACCTTTATTTATATTCATAATTTGGTAATTAAAGCGCATTTATTAAGCTCTGCTTGATTTACTGCACTCTACAAACTAATTATATTATAAAAATAGAAACAATAATAAACAAATCAAAATAAACTTATATATGTATATAGACTTACATACATATCACAGTCTTAGATTTGAGTATTTGATACTAATTCAATTACTTTCTAAATAAAAACAGTTTTCCGATTTTCCTGTAAAATATACTTCCTCCAGTTGTGATACTTTTATTGCAAGTGTTCAATATTATAAGACAAAAATACTTGCTTTGTAAATCTAAGATCGCAAACATAAAATAAATTCTTATGAAATATTCTTAAAGAATCAATTCCATGTATAAATGCAACTATACCTATTTCTTTTGATTTCAGTCCAAAGCGAATGGAACTAACAGAACTTGAAAGCTAGCTGATAGTAGCTTACATTGCAGTCCTAGTTGTTGTTTAGTTAGCACATTAAAAAAGAAATAAAATACTTTGAGTTATCCTTAAGCTTTTATGATGAAAAACAATAAAAAGATACAATTCTATCTGTATTTTGAAATATTTCTAAAGAACAGTGTTGGAGAATTTTAAAAGTTGAATTATATTATTACAAAAGACAATTAAATTTATACAAATATTTCATAAAAAATTTTAATAAAATTATAGGATATAAATAAGAATGTTTTTTCTTACATGTGACGTTTCATAATTTAAATTTGCAGCTTTTGCTTCAAGTTGCATCATTTTTTGTTCAGCTTGAGGTTCCACTTTAGTTCGTAAATAATCAGGTACTAAATCATGAGCAAATGTAGAAATTCTACCTTCAGTTAAACGAAGTAGATCTTCATCTTTTTCAGGACTTAATCGTAATGGTAAAACTGTCAGATTTCTTAAATTTGGTGCTTTATCATGTCCAAGGATTTTTGAAAGACTAGTTAACTATAAAATAAAATAATGTTTTAAATGATATTAATTAGTTGAATATATATAAACTTACTTAAAACATTTATTATAATATATTTTGTATATAAATGCTGAAAAGTATAAAACAAGAGTTAATTATTATATTTGTTATAACAGGTATGCTATTAACCCTTTGCACTCGAGGGCTCCGGAGCAGAGCCATTTAAAATTTGTCTTCAAACTCAAGGGCTCCGCTATGGAGACAATGCAAATAATTTTCAGTTTTTAACATAAGGACAAAAACAAATCGTAAAAACTATTTATAGGATATTTCGCTTTTGGTGACAAATGACGGTCACGACTCGTGGATTTGTATTCATAAACAATTAAAAAAATAATAACATGCAACAATGACTTTTCTTTTCACTAAAATTGAATTAGGGTTAATAATAATTTAATATTCTGTTATTTATTCTTGTTGTAATATTATCCTATATAAAGTATCCTTTATTTAAAAAAATAAAGTACTGTTACAATATAATACTTACATGTCCTGAAATAAGTGCAAAATTATCGAGGAAGTTAGGCCAATTTAAAGTTTCATATTCATGTTCTAATTTGAATATCATTGCAGCAATAGCTGTTTTTAAGTCATTTACTTTCATGATAATGGCTTCCAAAGCAGAATCCAATTGCTTTTCTTCTCTCTGCATTTTGAACTATATACATCCAAAGGTTCATGAAAATATATTAGATGGATGTATGATTATTAATATAAATACTGTAAATATTATACATGGTGTGATCTAAAAGAACACAGTCTATTCCAGGGACATTTGATCTCTTTTAAATCATTAATGTCTTTCAAAACAGTAAGTTTAACTCATGGCTTCACTATTATCATTAATTTAAGCATATTGAATATCCCACTAGCAGTTTTGAAACTTAACACAAAACTTTACAATTGCACTTTAATTTAAACTTAAGACCAATTTTTAAATTGCAGAACTATGGAATCATGTATCACATTAATACATAACAATCACAGTTAGATGGTATATTACATATTCTTACATAAGGATACAAAGAAATGGCGTGCAGGAGATCAATGGAAACAAAATTTCGTTTTTGATCATACTATGTATCTATATGATATTTAACCTTTATCCTGAAAATCTACTTTTGTAATACAGATATATAATTGAAATCTATGGTCACATAATATTAATGATTTGTCTGATTTTTTAAATAAATCGGTTTCTAAAATACATTTTTAAAACAATTCAGGACATTTTGAAAACTTAATTATTATATTTCATTTAGAACTAAGTAAACTTAAATAAAAATTCTAATTATTTCTTGAACTTTTGAAACATTTTTAATAATTTTATATTACTCGTTAACAAATACATTGTTTGTAATTGTCACAAAGTTATTTTTATATTTCTATTTTTTTTAAGAGCAATTTATGAGATCTTTTTTAACAGGAAGATCCATGATATCCATTTGGTCAATAAGCCAAATTTATTTATCATAACATTTATGACTTTAATTTATTAAAAATGTTATATATATATTTCATTTGTTATGTGAGATTTTTTGTTACGATGGTAAAAATATATCATTCCTTGTATTATTGAAAATTCTGATTAAGAGTTAAATTCATGTGAATAATTAAATGTTTTGCATGAAATATTAATCATATATTTTGTTTTATTGAAATGCAATATTTTTAGTTTACCCATTTTATTATTAATTTTACTTAAGCAAATTAATGTAGGTTCGTGGAAAAATAACTTGTAAAGTTTAATGAACTTTGGTTGCTATTTTGCACTGTATGTTTAGTTAATAACATTAATTAAATATGTTTTTTTTGCTGCTCAAAAATATTCGATACTTTACAGACCTCAGTTGACATAATGGATTTTTTAAGTGCTGTTCAAAACAATTGAACAAAACAAATGTGTGAACTGATTAAACGTCCAGATAAGGATCAAAATAATTACCTTATAATAAACATGCTTACTACAAAAAGAAGGATACTTACTATTTTATGCTGAATACAACAATAATAATGCAATCTTTACAGTTATTAACTAGTTATATTTAATTATTAATTAAATGAAAGTAACCTTTTAATTTGATATTAATATTTAATTTCATAGTACTGAAAAATAATTATTTAAAATATGTAATATATTTATAGAGTAAGTAGTTTTAGTATTGGTTAGGTTTATTTTTGACATGTATGCAATGCTTGTTTCACTAACTATATAACATCCAAACCAAAGAGTATATAGAAGAAGCGACACTGCATGTAACACATTTGATACTAGACCAAAGAATAAGTGGGAGAACCGAAACCGACTGATGGGTGCTTTCATTAAAAAATGCGGAGTGAAATTATGACAAATGTTATATCAGGGACGATATGCAATGTATGAAGTGCAAATAGAATACAGAAACGGAGATATATATATATATATATATATATTTGTTATTCAGTACATATTATATAGATATTTTTGGGAAGATTTTGAAATATTGTATACATAGTTATTACATTTTATATGCGAGATATATAGTTTGTAAGTTTTATATACATGATGTAGTAAGTAAAAGACGCAGGAGATGGAGTGATAAAGAGCGGGAAAGAGAATACGAAGGGGTGACCGAGTGCAGATTGAATGGTCTGAATGAGAGCGGGAATGAAATGTTAGGGGAAACAGACCGTTGGAGGCGCTACGAGAAGACTGAGTTTATGACTACGTTTCCATCGAGGGTCCAAATCGGGTCAGAGTCGGGTTAGAGTCGGGTTGGGGTCAGCGCTTGTACGGTGGAAACGCCAAAGGTTTAGTTGAACTCTACCCTACAAAATTTTAGGGTAGCGTTCAGTTGAGGTTCGGTGGAAACG